ATATTATTTATACGCATACTGCATGTATGAGAGTAAAATAAATAATAATTGTATAATTATACCAAATCACATATGCGTGTTGTACGTCATATTCGAAACTAACCGAATTTCTATTTAAATATCATTCTAAACAGGAATTTATTATTTTAAAGATAATTGGAATGTGTAAAACTCGAAATATTTAAAACTGTAGTATTTGTATATCTGCATTGAATAATTGAACATAATAACATACTGCAAAGACACGTTGTATAATTTTGCCTGCAGTAAAAAGAAAAATATGCTGTGTGGCACGTCTAAAATCTTTGTGCAATTTCGGTCAAAAAATAAATATTATTTTATTTTTGTCAGCTATTTAGTTTTTTTATAGAACCAAAGTATAACCATGAGGTTACCTATAACACGCACGTCCTATCGTCTGGACAGCGTCTCGAGCCGGAAGTATATACACATAATTTATATATTATAAATGTATATGTGCGTGTGTCAATCCGTCAACTACTGCGTACTGCAGCAATAGCGATTAGGGAATTGATTTACAAAATAAAAACACAATAACCCTCGACTGGTTTAAATATGAACATTGAACTATTATAATAAATTATTCTTATTAATAATATTTCTATCGAAAAACATCAGCGCAAATATTATAAAGTATATTGGTATAATTTACATAGGTATAATATACCGTACCTTTCAGCGTTGACGAACAAGAAATAAAGAAAACCACACAACAAACGACACCGGCCGATGATCGACGATCTACGCCGTTTCCGTCGTCCGAACGAAGACGAAGGTGACGATTGTTCGGACGAAAGATTCTGCCATTTTTTTTTTTTTATTGTTATTATATTATCGTTGTATTATTCGACTGTTGTTTACATCAAACGCGCGAAATAAACGCGTGTCCTAGTCTTCTGCAGCGTAAATATAATATAATATTATTACGCGTATCGTCCGATCGTAATGGAAATATGTATTAAATACTGTTCACCGCGTTTGTTCTTCTTTAAAAAATAATAACTACGATGATTACACCTAATATAATAAATTTAAAAAAAAAAAAACTTAAAACGAAACGTAACTAAACGCGGTATACAAGCGTCGAACGAGCGACAGTGTACGATTTAATATTTCACGATACAAAATAGGTACTGAAGAGAAATACACGATAACGTATTGTTATATACGTTTTGTATTATTATCGTGAAAGATATAATATTTTTGTTATTGTGACAATGAGTGGCGCGGGTACGCAACGAAACGTCGACGTCAGACAGCACAACGCGCGAGTCGAACCGCATGTGAACTGAACGGTCGGCCGACAGACGGACGGACGAGCGCGCCAACACACACGACGTCGCCGCCGATTAAAATACGATAAAGGCACGTATATATATATATATATAATATAGAAATGTATATACTCATACCGCGGTAGTACACGCGTGCGGTATTATAGGTGTTCAGTGTACACCATGGTATATTACCATCGTCGCGATTCGCGGTAACGTTTTTCCATCGCTGTATCTTCGTCCGCCCTACGCGTATACGTCGCTATACCTACATTATAATCGTGTCTAGTGTAAGGATTTTTGTTTACCCGAAATCACCGATTATCGGCGCACTACAGATAAACGTTACAATGCAATGCTATCATATTGTCATAACTCGTAACACCATTATAAAATATATATAATTATATTATTCTTATGTAATATTGAATAATATATGAATACAGGTGTTATCAGCTAGTGACGTATAGCTTACCTAAATAAAACTATGAGATCGCCAGATCGGATAGTCATAGAATATAATATAAAATGTATGCTAAATATATTTACGGACTTGGTACTTACACGTCTCAACAGTGTTTCAAAAATATGCTTTTTTTCCGCCAGGTTAGGAATTCCACACACACCTGTTGACGCAGACCGTATTTCTTCTATAAACAGTGGCGCCCGCAACCCAATGTCTATTGTTATTTGTTTATTTTTGCATGGAGCAAATTCGTTATACGTTATACGCAAAATAATACTATTACCAACTCTAGAATAAAAAGTGATCGAGAAAAAATTAAAAAAAAAATCTTAAAGGATCGAATGTCTCCCCATAGGACTTGCAATTATAGTTGGCATAAGCATAATATTATCATATACCTACATATCATTGATGTCCGACAGCCACGCGACTTACTCTTCACTCAAAAGCCTACTCACGGGGCAAAATCGATACATGCTTACTCAGCCATTTTATTTTATTGTATGATATAATAGCGCGTGGACGAGAAGTGACGGCGGCAGTCATATCTGTATTATATATGCGTCACTTCTTGGTTGCACGTCCTTGCTGTATTATCATTTAGTGACTGCTATATGATTGATCAGTTATACTGTCGCAGCGGGGCTTACAATTTTTTACACAAATTTATAAACCATATTATGTATATACCAACAGAGAGATGTACTGATCGTATATTATTATACAGGTCGACTTTTGGGTACCTGGTGCGGTAATGAATGGCTAGATCTCGTATCACTTTAATTCAAAATCTTCTGTACATAAATTAAAATCTATATTTCTTACAGCACATATTATATATACGTGTTTTCATTATTCGACTCACCCGTTTTTATGAAAACGTTCTGCTTCTGAATAATATAAAATCACAAACGTAAGGAACTGAAGGAATGTAATTGACCCGAGAAAACAATTGGTAGGTATGTAAAAAAAAACAAAAGATTCTTTTTTTAAAAACGTAGGTACCTATCACGAATTTGATTTTTTTCATAAACTAAATAATATTATTGACTGTGGTCTGCGGCTTTGAGTGTTCCGCCATAAAAGAATCATCCTGTAGGTACTTACATATGCTTGTATATATATATGGCGACATGATAAGTATATTTTTTAAAACGCAGTATTGTGCCACACCGATCTACTATACACGCATTTGTTGTTGTTATTGCCTATTGGCGATGATCCAAAAAGAAAGATAAAAAAAAGGGTTGTGTGAAGATAAAATATATTTTTAGTACACCAAGAGGAAGTGGGACGTCGCCGCCGCCGCCGCCGCCGCCGCCGCCGCCGCCGTTGCCACCACCGACATAGAACTACCTCTATGTGTTTATTTTTTTTTCTGAAATTCAAGTGCATAAGATTAATAATTGTACGACCTTCAGATTTTTCTCAATTTTTAAATTTATATTTAGAGTTATAAAGAAATAATGTCAATGACATATTATATTTAAACATTCTTTAAAATGAAAATTACGTCCAAAATTCTTATGTATATTAGGTAGATGTAGGTTAGTACAAAATAATTGTTAATTTGGAGGAGGTATATTCCTATTGCACATACAGATATCAAGCCGGTAACATTATTTGTTCCCCATATTCCCAATACTAATCTCCAACTATTCTTATAATGTATAATTATTTTATAATAATAAAATCTGTTATAATTTATACTACTACATTATTAGTATAAGTACTTGCAATATAAAATATACTTTTTTAATTTAATGTATATATGTATCATTATGAAAATAATAACTTATGCATATTTGACGTCAAATTTATTAGTATTATTATATGAGTGATTAACTATATCATATTCAGTGATAACACGAAATTAATACCTATAAAAAAATCAATAGGTTAAGAAAATGACGCAGGTATATAAATGATTAACATTTAGTTTTTTGTATGTATAGATCATAACATTATTTCACTGAATATCATAACCAGGCTTAATTTATGATTTCAGTAAATAAAACAATTAGGGGCATTTTTTTTATAGCATAAGATTATTTTCAATATTCAATCCACAATAATTAAACTTCTTCGAACCCGAACAACTTCTCGGTTATATTTTTAAATTTATGAATAATTATTTACCATTTTGGCAATTCCTTATGGTTTAAACTAATCATTCTTAAAATTAAAAGAATTTCCATGCTTAGAGACCTTTCAATCTCATCGTACAGCATGATTTTTTGTTGTCTTCCGAGTTAAACACATATTAAACACACGTATTTTTTAAAATATTATTTAAAACTTTAAAACAACTCTTAAGAATTTACAAACGATTACGGCACGCACAACAATTTAGTTGTATTTGATTTACATATATACTATACATTTGCAATAAAAGTCCCACGATGCAATTATTTATCATTTTTTATAACATTTAAAATAAAATCAAACAATTAAATGTCATTATTTTATATACAATTTTGGACGAAATTAAATAATCATCAACACAAGGTATGTATATCCTACATACATTATTTAAATCAAGGTTCTTTTACAATGTTTTATGGTTATATAAAGAATAAAGAAGTTTATTTAAAATACTACCTATATAAACAATTTAACACAATGAACAATTTTAGTATTCAACACTGAAAACATAGGTAGGTAGTTCAAATTATTGTATTGCAATCTGGAAAATTAATACCTAGCGGATATATAGGTATAGTATACCCATAAACATTTTTTTGTATAATTTTTTAATTATTTTTTCCTAAGATATATAAACGGTAGATATTAAAATTAATTCAAACATTAAAGTTTTTTTTTTTTTAAACTTTCTTTTAGACCTAGTCATATATTAACATATAGATTCTTTCAAAGATATTGAAAATGTGTACGTGAACGATATGGCGTAGACGCATAATGCGTTATGGCGAATAGTTTTTTAATCTATTGTTTGTGTTCAATAAATACGTTACGAGACCATCCGAAATGGTCTAGACACGCCTATTATATGTTTAAGTAGTCCAGTATAGATATTTTATGAGCTTTTGACAATATTGTTTACGTACCACCGCACCTATAATAATGTTCAACACTGTCGGAATTACTAATAAATAAAATTAACGAAAAAATAAAAATATAACGAATCAATTTAAAAGCAGTAATTAATTTAATTTGTGTATATGACACAACGAGGTAACCTATATTCGATAACTCAATTAAAAAAAAAATACGACTACCTAACTTATATTATCTGCAGAACCACTCTAATACTGTCCAATTCGCACTCCAAACCTTCGTATTCTCTCTAGAATTAATAAAAAACAATTAATATAGTACCTAACATTAATAAATAGATATGTTTTTCCTTTAATTGTACGTACTTAGAGCGACTTGTTGACACTTAAAATTTCCACCTTACACGTTTTAATGTTGATCTGATACGTACCTACCTATGATAGAAATGAACAAATCAATGAATTATTATTTCTAAAATTGTGAACAATTTATACATTTTAAAAATATTATCAATTTGGTAATAGAATTTACAGAATACACTCATAGCTTTTATCAACTTTATTGTTTATAATATTTATTAGGGTCTGCTTGTATTTATGCTTGCAGGTATTAAGTAACTTGAATTAAGATATCAAAATATTTCTTATTAAAATTCGGCTAGATGACTGGTTTTATTTACGGCGTACACAGGTGGGTTATCTTGTTTTTCCGTTTGAATGTGTTCTCTTTTAGGAAAAACGAGAGAACACAGTGATGCAAAACTCACGCCTCTCTGTATACCTATTATTATAATATAGACTACAAATAAAGTTCAAAGTACAGTTCATGTTGACAATATATAGTATATATATGGAAATACCTAAAACGTTATCTTCATGGTTTAATTAAACTTGATTTAAATGATTAACTAGTTGCAATAGTATAATGTGTGAGTTTGAATTTTTTTTTCTATAAAATATATTTCACAGTCTGTAAGTTAAAATAAATGATTTTTAGTAACCAACAATTATTCATCATTCAATAGTTATAATTTGTTGAGCCAATAATTGTTTGAATTACGATTTACTTATGCGGTTAGCTTCTTTTATTGTCCTCTTTACAACTGAATTGTTCGCTTTTATTAACATTTTATGACTAATGAAATATATGATAGTATGGTTAGATAATAATGTATTTTAATATCATTGCAATTTGTCTGACAGTAAGTTTCAACATTAGCTATGGTAAGCACATTAGTCACAGAATCTAATTTTTTTAGAATATCTTAACGTAATGTTATATACAATGTATACTATTTTACAATTGTTTTTTTAAATATAAAAATAATATTACTCTGGGTACCTAAGAATAAAATATTATTGCAATGTATTAGGAACCTATAGAATATAGAGGATATCGTTCTAGGACAGATATTAACCTGTTTAAAAAAAGTTTGAAAACCAATAATTTAAAGTTGTTGGCAATGTATTTTGTAATCAAATTATTTCCAAGTAATAGTTACTATGTGTAATAAGTGAACTAATAACTAATAACTATAATAGTGCTGTAGAATTTATTAATAATCGAGAATACAGAACAACAATATACAACGTTAACAGTTGATTGGATGTGATGAATTATGCGTTTTTTCAAAGTTTTAATTTACTTTTGAATTTATTTGACTCATGTGAGATTCACAAACGAAACGATGAATATATATAATATATATACAATATATTATATTGATTTTATAATGGTGTGTGTTTTCTTTCGTTTTTTTTTTTATTTGTTTCTGCATACCTATACATAAAAAGTATGTAGAAAAATGCTTCGATTTTCAATTTTGAGGTTGGTTTCTGAAATAAAATCTAGTTGGTACTGTTTTGAGATTTAAATTTAAAACTCACAATACTTGCAAGTACTTCAAATTTGTTTGTTATTTGGAAAACACATTTTAATACATTACATAGGTGGTAAATTATATACCATTTCCGTTGATACTTGTCCGTGAACGCATACAGAATTTTTTACCTGAAAATTGGTGACTTGTTTACGTACAAAAAAAAAAACATGAAAAGGTGATAATACAAATATCATCCAGCAAGCTCATTTGCGTACAACGTGTATTTGGAGCCATTATAATATTCCTCTTTTATTTTGTTTTTATTATTTTTTCATAAGTGTCATCGGTGGGTGGCTTCTTAGCTCATAATTTCATGTTTTTTTATTGTGTCTCAGCTCATACTCTTATTGTGCCGATTGTGTACAGATTGTGTATTACTAATAAAAAAAAAAAAAAAAAAAAAAAAAAAAAAAATTATTTTTTAAATAGAGACAATCTCTATAAGTTATTTTTAATTACGAAATATATACCTTCTATGAAATGTATGCGCTTACAATTGATTAAAGTGCGGTTGGAACCATTTCGTATAAATACTTTCCATGCTAATTTTAAATAATAGGTACGCTGGTTTTGGTTGACATTGCTTATTATTGTTATAATTTATATACTCATTTGATTTCTACGTTCTGGTAATTTAGCGTAGGCATTTTTTAATCCATTTATGTAACCGAGCTGTGCAGCGTTTGTGAGCAAATAGTAACACAAAAGGAATACGCGAACGGGTTAAACAGTTCCGTATACACATTCCACGCAAACGAGTATCGTTGACCTCTGAATAAAGTTTGTCCATCATCACAATAATATTGGCCAAAAATGAAAAAGCAGCTTAAAAGTACAATAATTAAAGCTTGAATTTACTGAGATTAGACAAATAAAAAAAATAATGATATAACTAAAAATCTTAAACACAATCTTTAAGTGGCATTATTCAATTGCCATAATACTGTTATATGTAATGGTAATTAAACTTAAGTCACTGCTTTATATTAAAATATTAAAATATTAACTATTGTTTTTAATTTTAAATGTTTGCACGTGCACGCAATATAACCATAAATGCACCTGTAATTTTGTTTCTGTATTTTGGCGTGCTTTATGCCTATCGGTATACATGGATAGGTACTTAAATCTATTGTTGTATAAGGGACGGCTCTTGATAATTATATTATAATATATCGTTTTCATATTCAAACCAATAAAAAAAAAATGAAAAATAATGATAGCTTAAGACTACATCGTAAGCTATTAGAATAGAATATTAATTTAAGATCAGAGAATTTATTTAAAATTTAATTTTTAATTTTTTGACTTAACAAGAAAAAAAGAAAAACATCATTTTGGATACTGTAACAACTTAAGAAGACGCCACACCCGCATGTGTTGTCTCCGTCTTACAAACGCTTAATATACCAAATTTACGCTCAGCAGTTCAAGTTGTATGCCGTTAGCTTAAAAATTAGAGTGAATCGATCTATTATAAAACTTGATGATAAGAACTTTATCTGTGTTTTGTTATAAGTTTTTTTACGACAATTCAGTTTTTAAGCGAGGTATGCTTGTATAATAAATGTAAATTAAAAATGCTCATAACTCACTTAAAAATTGAATTATTGTAAAAAAACTTCCAACTAAACATAGATAAAGTTCTTAACATAAAGTTTCATAATAGGTCGATTCACTCTAATTGTTAAGCTAACGGCATAAAACTTGAACTGCTGAGCGTAAATTTGGTATGTTACTCGTTTGTAAGACTGCGACAACACATGCGGGTGTGGCGTCCTCTTAAAAAGAAAGGTTATTATCAATATTACTATTAAACCACTGTACCCTTATTGTACTCATACATTACGTACAAAAAAATCAATTATCCGTAGTTTAATCATCGCATCAAACAACATATCACTTAAAGCCAATTTAAAATTAGTCCATCAATTAAAATATGATTAGGCTAAGCTTTAAATCATTGGATCGATAACTTATCATAGATGCAATACACATGTTATAACTGAGATAAATAATTATAAGCTATTGAAATCACTTTCTAAGCTTTACACGCTCAGATAATTGAAATTACTGTAACGATGACAAATTATTGTGTGAAAAATGCTATTGGCAAAGAAAAAGTAAATAATAGTTTATAAAAGAGTAAACATTAAGTAATTCTCCATGGAACTAAACAAAAAAAAACAGTGTCTTTACAAATTTAAATATATGTGAGTAAACTCAACTATTTCACTTATAGATATTATATATTTGTATCTCACGTGGAAAACAATCACAACCGGGTCAATGTTGTAATAATTAGTAAATTAAATGAAACTAAATTTCCACCATTGGTAGAAGACTTATCAGACATTTTTAAATTATGTTCATAGGAAATAAATGGGTTTTTTTTGTTTTACAAGAAGTGATTTATCCAATTAGTTCTCATAAACATAATATAATAGAATGATGTAATATTTATTGAGTATTTGAGTTTAAAGCAAAATTGTTTTTAATATTAAATAAATAAATAAAGTTTGAAACAAAAGCGGTTAATTTAATATCTCCAAGTGGATAGTTTGATACCTACAATATTATCACTGTTATAGCTATAAAAATTATAATTATGTTTGTTTTACTTATCGACAACTCTTAACGCATATAGATAAGTTTATATTATACTGTCTATTGTAATTTATGACTATCAAGTGTGATTCTCGAGTCAAGTGCAAATTCGCCTATAAAATATGCTTAGCTATAGGCATATTGAACAATTCGTTTGTTCTTTTAAACTTTATGTATGCCATACCTATATTATATTTCAAATACTTAACTACCGAAAGTTCCAAGAATGTCCAAAACAAAATGGATAAAAATATAGGTAGGTAGGTATTTTATTCATCACTTACATTTCAAGGCATTAATTTTGATACGAATTGAGAACTTACAAATTGTTCATATATTTTTTTAAATTGTTTAAATTTGTACATTATTATAATTTCTTTTCAATAATTAGGAGGTACACTTATATCTTACAGTTAGGTAAGTATACAAATTATTATGGATTTTAATTAGGTATAGAATCATTTAAATTTATCAATATGAAAAAATACGTGTTATGAATGAAGGTCATTAAAATCAAATACATCCATGGTTCAGATAAGTCAACTTTAGTGTTATAACTATGTATATAAACAGAAATGAGTCTGATATTTTGCTGTAGATAAAACCTTATCGGGACGAAACACGGTAATTGTGTCCAATTAATAATACTTACCGTTTGTTGGAGATCTTTCAATATAATATTATATCAAACTACAAGGTGTTCGATATTGATTAATAATTTAATTAACACTACTACATACAGATATAAAACCAAATATAAATAATTGTTTATCGAAATCTGCAATCTTCCACCGAGTTCCATAAGTTCCTTTATTATAATTTATAAGTTATAACAATAATAACAAATTATCATTATTCATCACATTTTTTCATTGCAATTGCACCATATTTCTATACTACACACTATAATATATTATATCATTAATAATTGATAGTAATAATTCTAACAATGTACTGATGT